GGGCGCAAAATATTATGAGTAACAGTCTCAGTTTCATCATAGAGGAAAGCAAAGTAGAAGATAGAGACTGCTTGCCTTGTGCTCACTGATTGGATAAGACTTATTGATCCTTGTTTATTGTTATTAATATTAATATCAATTCTTTTTAAAAACAATTGTATTCATTGCTTAGCCCTCAAAGGCCCCCTAGACTATTCAAAGCAGAACATAACAGTGGGGGGTGGTGGGGGGGAAGCCAAAGCAGATAATGGAATTTGAATGATCAAAGCAGGGATGAACAAAACAGTTTTTCCATAAGCATAAATCCAATGTAATCTCCCTGGCATTATTTCAGAATAGAAGAGGAAGAAACTTTATTGTGGTCAATGACCAGTCCATAAAACATATTGCATATATACAACTGATATTGATTAACCAATTAGGTAAACAAATCCAACAAACTGCTGTTTCAGAAGAGGCCCTGCCCTGTGTTCCTTCCATCCTTGGTTCCCTTGGAGGTGGGACCTACAACAGGCGACAGAACCAAGGCTGTAAATTGCAAGCAAGTGTTGCAGGAGTAGGCAGTCTTTAGATATGCTGGTCCAAATCCATATAGAATTTACCTGATAATCTTTGCGAATAATGAAGGATGAAGGATGAAGGATGGTATATATTTACTGCATTGGTCCTATGTTGATCTAAAGAAAGGCAGTAGCAAACTGCCAACTTATTGTTCCAAAGGAACAGCAGAGAGGGAAATACTTGGACTGGCTGATAGGAATATTTCTCATTTATATTTACCGGCAGGGTGATGGCAATTAGATATGCAATCAAAAATTCTTATAGTTTCTATGTCCATATCAGTAAAATCAGCAACTTCAGTTATATTCAGCAATACACAGACAGTACTGATTAAACACATTTGTTCCTGGTAATCCTACCTGCCTTTGCCCAAACCAACCAACCAACCAGGAAATAAAATAGAAATCATCTGAAAGAAGAACACATTTGAGAAAAACTCAAGTGGAACATATTCAGTTTAAAACATCTCTTTTATTCCTAATTCCAACATGAATTCTTCTCTCCGTTGTACTCCAAAGGTTCAAGATCAGCCAACAACATAAAGACCAAATAACCTTGCACAATGCAATCTTTATGTAACTTTTATTTTCAGTGTTATATATTTTCAGAAAAGCAGATGAAAATTTCTAAATAAATCCTGTTCTCACTGAGCAGCTGATATCCTGTTTCTTTTCTCTCACTTTTGGTTGAAATATATCTGAAGAAACATTGTGTATGTGTGCGTGTTCAGCATCCTTCGCTAACCTCAACTCATTCTGGGCTTTTGTCTTTCTAACAAATCCAGGCTACCTGTATTATCATTGTCCTAATATAGGACTCATCATCAGAAGATAAGGAGGATCGAGGGGAGACCCAGAGACCATGGCCATGAACAAGCTGGGAAGAATTGTCCCCTGTTAATGAAGTATTAATACCCTGATTTCTCAAAGCATCACCTAAGCCTACAGGGGCAACGCTGACATAAGGTCAAGAATCAGCGGCCAGAGAGATTGCAGGGAAAGAGTCCTTGTGAATGACAGCCTGCTATTGACCCAGGTAGACTAGCAGACTGAGTTGAACAAATGTTGTCCAGCTGGATGAAAGCTCAAAGCCCTGGAAGATGAAGTTTGCCCTTCGGATGTGAGCCAGAGTGAGAAGCAAAGTCCATACTTGGTGTGATCTCTGACCAATGGCTTGAAACCCTGACCTGAAGCTTTGGATGGACTTTGTGGATTCTGCCCCAGTTTGTATCTGACTTTGCCTTTTCATTTGGGACTTTGATTGGCTTAGTTGAAATATTAATCCATTCTTGGATTACCTTTTGTGCTTGCATCGTACTGTCGAATGCAAGTTCATAAGAAGTGGAGTTTGCAATGCATGTCTTGTTACTTGTTCCCTGGTGAATGCTTATGAAAGTGAATAATCTTGAGGCTTTCAGCCTGGATCTTCTCAATGTTTTCTCTGCAATTTCTTGCTACATTTTTCTAAGTTCCTATTTACAATTACATTTGGAGTTAAAAAATAAGCATGGGATGAAGAATCATTGTATATCACAAACTGGCACTAATATTAAAACTTGGACATTTAAAGATGTTGAAAATGAAACTAAGTGTATTGAGTATCTTAATAATATTAACAGATAAAAAAACTACCTTTTCTGTCTTTATGTTGTTTATAATCCCAAACCAGCATGGATAAAGTGGGAATTGTAGGTCAAAGCAACATAATCTTGAAGAGCACTGGGTTGAGGAAGTGGTACAGCATATAGAAAGAATAAACTCAGCCCCTTTGTAATGAACTTTAACAGTTAAATTTGCCTCAGTCATAAAAAACCCAACAGATACTATGCCTATAAATAGAAAATATATTCAAAAGTGTTTTCAATGGATGCCATCTAATCATTACATTACATTGAATAGGATGGGAATTTAATTGGGCCTCCTCTTCTTTATCATAGCACAACCAGTCATGCATAAACATCTGTCCTGTGTATGATCAGACCTAATTACTTCTACACTGATTTAATTAATAACATTTATATTCTGCCAAATTACAGCTAAAAGTCAAAGAAAACATCAGAGTAGGCGCAGCAGAAAGGAATAGCTTATCAGTGGCCCACAGATACAGCTTTCCCACCACCAAGCTTCCTTTTCCATCTGATTTTACCGTTTTTACATTTATTTTTTATTATTTCAATTTAAAAATGTCCTGCTGGCCTTATCTTCCTTTCCAAGCATGCGTTTGAACCACACACTGGTCCCACTGGCTTTTGCAAAAATTGAAAATGGGAACAATTGCAGCCCAGTGCTTTGTTTAGAAAGAGTCCCATTTTTTCAGGAAACAGAGAGGACAAAAGGAAACTGGGGTGATAAGGAGACCTTTGGGGCTCAGGGAGTAAGACTGCCAAGTTGTCTTCTGCAAAGGAATGTTTTGTGACTGGTTAAGTTACCATAAAACCTACCTAAATACCTCTGTAGAGTCTCCAAGAGGCAAGAATGATTTGAAGGTATCAACACCTTTTCATGCTCACCTTGATAGCCAATAGAGGTCTATACTCCGGACCCTGCATTTCTCCTCTGTACCAGGGTAATCAAGACATTGGGGATGGTGGTGGTGGTAGCAGGGGCGGTGATAATAGTCTGGTGGTTTTCCAGAAGGCTATTTTGCAAACAGTTTGTGGTGTTTGGGATGTGGTGTTCCAGATGAAACAGGCCCAATAGACAACATCTGGGATGCTACAATTAACTGTGTCCATTTTGGAAGATTAGCTTCCAGAAAAGTATCAGACAACCTCCGGCTTAACCAGATTGACATGGTCTGGGGAGAAATGACATTGTAAATTGTTCTGTTCTGACAGATGTAGCTTTTGCACATGCCTAGCAGCTGGTTCATGAATGTGTAAACTGTAGTCTTGGTAGTCATTTTATGAGAGCATTCACAATATTCCTTCATGGTTCAAAATGTGGTTGTTGATGGACTTCCAGGGGAGGTATGGCAAACTGAAGATGGCTCTGTGAAAGTGGAGCTGACAACCACAGCAAAGACTGAGAACTGGTGTGTAGACTGTTTCCTTGGAACCTCTCTGGATAAGGGGAGAACAGGAGATTGCCCACATGTGCTCCAGATGGCCGCTGCTCACAAGGAGACTGCAAGACAGGGGTTTTCTGCTGGTTTGAGCACTGGGAGATAATGGGATCAGCCATCTTGCTTGCAACCACAGCAGAGCCTTTTAAAGGACACTAAATTCACAAACCTCACTTTCTAATCATTTGGAAATTGCCTACTAACCATCTTAAGGCTATTATTTATTTATTTGTTTATTAATCAAATTTATATGGCCGGCCATCTCACCAAAGGTGACTCTGGGCGGTGTACACCAATCCAGTAAAAACAGCGCATATATAAAAACAATCATGTAAATATATAAGCCTGGCGTGGCCAGGAGCTGCCTCGCATAGAGCCAGGCCTCGTCAGCAGCAGGAGGAGGAAGATGAAGGTCAGCTGGGAGCGGCAGGGATGGCAGGGCCAGCAAACGCAGGGCAGCAGTGCTGGCGGGCTGGCAGGGTGAGCGGGGTGCAGGGCAGTGGGTACGGCTGGGGCTTTGCACTGTGGTGCTGTGGTGGCTGGCCGCAGCATGGGGCTTGAGGCAGCACTCCTCAGAGATGGCGGCACTAGGGCTGAAGTAGAAGCCTGGGGGTGGTGGCAGCCAGCTAAGACTGCTGAAGGCCCTGGGCCTCTACTTCAGCCCCAGTGCTGCTGCCACTGCCAAGGAGTGCCACTATGCAGGGTGACCAAAAGGGCAGAGATGGTGGTGGGGAGATGGGTGGGGGAGTTGAAGTGCCCCTGCAGTTGTAAGTGCAGGCGGGCTGCCAAGCGCCTGAATTTTGATCATGCGACCGCATATGTGCTGCAACAGCCATAACTTTGGGGACCAGACATAACTACCATTTGTTCAGCACTGCCATAACTTCAAACGATTGGTTACGAATGGTTGTAACTCAAGGACTACTGTAATCCAGCCTTCCCTAGGCAGATATGTGGGACTACAACTCCCAGAATTCTCAGACAGCATGGTCAAATATGAGAGTTACAGTCCTACGCTGTTGGAGAACATCAGCTAGGGGAAATCTGTTCCCTACCATTAGGGTACATAAAGACAAAAGAAAACCTGTGATATTTTGGTATTGATATAATGATGGAACATTTCTCAATTTCTGATGTTTTAATTGCACAGATATAAAATAGTGAACAGATGGTCTGATGCAGAACTGTTTAATTTTTTTAGAAGAGTTTCAGGTACAACACTTCTATAAACTGAAGAAGTATAGCATCCTCTTTTTTATATATATAATATTTCATTGAGATTTTAAAGATACATATTTAAAAGTTAGAAATGAAAAAGGAAATTTGAAATAGAAAATATATAGAAAAGGAAAAGAAAAAGTAAAGTAAAGTAAAAGAAAAAAAGATAAGAAAAATAGATAACTTCCAATCTATCTCTGGTCTTAGAAATAATAAGACTATCATAAGTGCTAGTTCTTAATACATTGAATAGGAACAATTCTTTGTCAAAATATATCCCATTACATTAGCATCCTCTTGATAAAGCCCCCAGTGACAGTGGGCTCTGATGTAAATTCAGTTTGCGTTAATTACCTGGAAAGAAGGAAAAGGAGAAGATTATTATTTGAGGGGAAAAGGAAGTTCTTAAAATGCCAATAACTAGTCACAAGTGAAACTTGTGGTAATGTGATATCCAAGCAGGTATTCTGGAGTTCCAGCTGACCAAAATGCCCTCACAAGAACTCCTCCCTTCCTCCCTTCCTTCCTTCCACCCTTCTTTTTGAAAAATGAACAAATGTACACTAAAAACCTTAGAATTAACTGGGAAAAAAAGTGACTACAAATGCATATACCCACCCAAAATACATTTGTGATCTTTAGGAGAAATACAAACATTTTAAACATCCATATTCACTATTTCAGGCCAAAATGACATCTCTACAGATAACAGTAAGATTTTTTTGGAAAAGCAGGGTTAATATAGCTAAAGGACAGTGACTAGATTTACTCCCTGGGACCCCACCCAGTGAAGGTATCCAGGCTGCGGGAGTGGCTTAGCTCTAGAACAAGCTTCCGTTCCTATTTTGTAGATGGTTTCTTGTTTTGGAAACGAGTTGGGCCATCTCTGGACATGCCCTAAGTCATACAGGGGCTGTGAGAGCAGACAGCAACTTGAAACTGTGGCTGTACAAACATGACTGACTTTGCAGAATGTAGTCTTGTTTTCTTCCAACCCTCAATTTGTGGTTGATACACATGAATCAAACTTTTATTTGCTCAGTCCTACCCATCATTACTGATGGGTTGTGACTTTTTGGTATGCCTTGAATATTACATTTTGTTAATGATTTATGTTCATTTATTTTTTTATCATGGATGTTTTATATAGCTATAATGAGGTCAACACCAGGTTCAGTGTATGCAATTAAATGAATGAATAAGGAAATAAATCATTACAATTGTTTTCCCACCCACATTAATTGCTTCTTCTTTCTGTTGGTACTCTGAATCCTTTCTTTTAAGGAAAAGACTCGGTGGAAATAAATAACTGTCAGACTTTCACTAATACACACATGCGCGCGCGCACACACACACAGTATGCCAAACTGGCTCTCCTTTACAAATCTTATTTATGATTAAATGGGTACCACAAAGTTGGACTAAGCTGGCAGTCTAAGTGCATTGTTCAACAATTCTTCAAGTGTGGCACCCGCCATATGGAATGATCTCCTATGGAGACACCATTGGCCCCAACTCTTTTGCCTTCAAAAAAAGCAAAAACAAAACTGGGTTTTTCCTCAGGTGTTAGGCTAAGATGACTGGAATCCCCATCTGGAAGAGGTATGAATGGAAGATTCTGGTTGCCTATTTACATCTGGTTGGATTTTAAATGAAAATCTCTATCTTGTTTTGGTTTTGGTCCATCGTTTGCCATCTAATATTGGACGCAGTGTTTGAATTGGATGGCCATATCATTTATTTAAACAAACAAACAAACAAATAAGGCTGAACAGAATCAGCTGTGAAAACTCCCAGAGTTTGTCTGACCTTTTCCTTTATCTGGTTCCCATAAGAGCATTTCTTGACCTGCAGAGTATTCTGTGCACTAGGCCAGGGGTTGAACTCAATGATCAGTAGAGACTTGTCCAACCCTTACATGTGACAATTCTTTGATTCTATAGCAAACTTACACTATTCATCCAGGAAATATAAGCTGAGACACGGGTGAACACAGTTGGCTTCCGGTAAACGTTGCATCCAGAGCCGGAAACAAAGCTAGTGACTCCATGGACGACATATCTGCCATTCACCAAGCAGTTTAAAGGCCCTCCAGAATCCCCCTAGGATACAAAGCCAAGATGGGAGAGGTGCATCACCAAATATATTGTGTTCTCTGATTTTTCTACAAAGCATAAAATACCTGCTGAAATAAACCAAGGTAGGGCAATGTGCGGCCTGCAAATGAACCACCAAGTCGGTACTGTACAGTGCTTTCTAAGCAGTTGATTTAAGAGGGCTTTTGCAGTATGATTGTTTTGGAGAAATTTGGTTTCCTTAGATATTGCAAGTAAAGAATTGATAAATAACCAAATCCTCAGACAGGATCCTATCACCCATTCTGGCAAGATTTATTCTCGAGGTAAATTTGCCTGAAGTTTCTCAGATAAGGAAAAGTTCTTCACTTAGGAAACAGATATTGGATGGGGGATTCCTGGCTTTGCAGTCACACACTTGAAAAGAATCTTGGAACTGTAGTGCAGGGTTTCTCAACCTTAACGACTTTAAGATGTATGGACTTCAACTCCCAGAATTCCCCAGCCAGCATTACCAAGGTTGGGAAATGCTGCTGTAGTGGATTGCAAGCTGAAAGTGAGTCAGCAGCCTGATATGGTTGCTGAAAAATCAGATGAAGTGTTATGCTACAGAATAAAAATGGAATGTTAAAATCACAGGAAGGAATAGTTTTTCTTTGCTCTGCCTGGGTCAGACCCCACTGCAAGTTCTGCATCCAATACTGGACGCTCCATCTCAAGAACGATTCATAGAACCTGGAATGGGTGCAAAGCAGAGCAATGAGGATGACCAAGCGTCTGAAACAAAGCTCCAGGAAGAGAGACTGAAGGAACTGGCAACATTAGCTTAGAGAAATGCAGCTTAGCTTTGCTGAATTTGCACACTTGCTGCCAAATTAAAGTGGTTTAGGGCAGGGCAGAAGGCTGGGCTAGATAACATTTTTGTGGCAGGCAGTGACCTTCCTGAAACTCCCTTCTGTTGCGTAATGGAATGCGAGAATGGCCTTGGAAGGGGGGGGAAGAGATGCCACCTAGGCAATGATCAGATAAAAGGGGGAGGAGCCTGCAACTGAGTAACAGGCAGAGAAAGAAACTTGGACCCGCCCCAACTGATCAGGCAGTAAAAAGGGACAGCGGGAGATTTGTACTTTCAGACTTGCAAGATTGTTGTCAGCCCTCCCAGGTGAACCAAACAGGAAACACAACCAGACGAGCTACTTCTACTTTATTGTTAGGCTATGTTAACAGAACCTTGCAAGTCTGAAAGTACAAATCTCCCCCGCTCCTTATTTACCACCTCAAAGTTAGGGTGGTCCTTCCTAAGTTTCTTTCTCTGCCTGTTACTCAGTTGTGGGCTCCTCCCCCTTTTATCTGATCGTTCCCTAGGTGGCATCTCTTCCCCCCAGTCTTCCAAGGTCATTCTCACATTCCATTACATCTGTTAACGTGCACATGCTTTTTATAGCAAATGTTTGTAGCATGAGGTTACCTGGCATCCAGCACGTGTGCCATCACCTCCAGCACACACCATGGTATTCTTAACTGTCGAGCCCCAGTAGGATGGACTGGAGCAGATAGCATGATCCACGACTGGTAGATAGGCTTGCTGCAGAGTTGATGCCAGCTGCCCATTTGCTGTACAAAAATGCCCAGAGTAATGGTGTCAGCATTCTCAAGAAGAGTAAGCCCAAACCTCATTTTGACTTCCCACCTTATGAAATGAAAGGAGGAATTCCCAGTGATGAAGAGAATAAGGTAGGTGTGGGGAATCGTTGGTTCTCCATATACTGCTGAACTGCCTCACCATTGGCCATACACACAGGGATGGCTGGGAGCTTTAGTTCAACAACATCTGAAAGACCACATGTCCCTCATCTTTGATGCTGTGGATAAGTGGATTGCCTATCTGGCTTCATTTTTTTTATTTCCAAGGCCTCAGGATCAAGCTCAGGCAAAGCAAAATGGCAGATCTATATAGCCAGTAATGTAGAGGTGAAGGTGTTGGACTGGGAGCGAGAAGGTTCAGATTCAAGTCTTCAGTTGATTGGGTGATTTTGGCTAGTGTCAGCCCTAGGAGATAGACCAGACCCAAAAATCAACTCTACAGGAAGACTAGAATGATACTATAGTGGTAGACTATAATAACAGCATCTTGTAAGTCTGATTGGGCTTCTCCTCCTCTTCTTCCTAAACCCCAGCAGTCAGGGAGGAGCCAGCCTGAGCCTCTTCCTAATATTATCGCTGTTCTCAGGACTTGAGGAATGTTTTTGTCCTTTCTTCTTATATAGCGATTTCTGAATATTTGCTTCAGGGCCACCTCTTTGGCTGTCAACAGCAGCCACTCTTTTTTAGCATAACCAATCTGACAGGGAAATTATAGCAGAGATAAAATTAGGGGAAAGCCACTGATCATTATCCTGAACTCTCAGTAGAAAGGCAAGTATTGGTGCAGTAAAGAAATACATCTCTATCGGCTTGCAGAGTGCTTACTTGAATAAGGTTCTTGGTAGACTGAATCTTAAGATACGTTAGAATTCCATATAAATTTTTACCACCACTGATAGTTATGATCTTATTTGATTGATTGACTGATTGATTGGGACCAACAAGACTAACAACTTAAGCACCTATGTCTCTGGGCCATCTAATGATGATCTTCTTACCATCCCTTGTATATTGTGTGAATTTTAATAATACTCACTTTTGGTTCTGCCCCAACCAGTGATGATACAATTATTATTGTTGGGCAGGATCTGGCCAGAGGGAGGCAAAGCACCAAGCTGCACGTATGTGTTCAGAGTTGCACTTTTTGAAAGACGGAGCAGTGCAATGTCAAAGCTGCCAAAGAACAGAGAAACCAGAGAAGGAAGAGAAAGAAGAAAAAAGAAGCAGCAAATTGAAGATTTGTCAGAAACAAGAATGTGGGCCTGTTCTGGATTAAATGGTTAAGTGGCATATATACCACACTAGTTCTTCTCACTGCCCACTGACTTCAGCAATCAGCTGGAGCACTGCAGTTTCCAAACCAGCATTCATGATTTGGCAATATATGTTTTTTGTGCCTTCACGTGAGTCTTGACTCCTGGTGATTACATGAACAGGTTCATGCAGTTTTCTTGGCAAGGCTTTTCAGAAGTGGTTTGCCCTTGCTTCCTTCTTCCTACGGCTGAGAGAGAGTGACTGGCCCAAGGTCCCCCAGTTGGCTTTGTGCCTAAGGCGGGACTAGACTCCCAGTCTCCTGGGTTCTAGCCTGATGCCTTAATCACTACACCAAACTGGCTCTCTTGGCAATGGTTAGGTATCTCCAAATACTAGAGACACTTCTTTCATTTCCTTGATGCAAATCATGGACAGACTGTATGGTTAGCAATGGGTAGAAGTCAGTTGCATCCAATATTTGGGCAATTTGGTAAGCCACTGCCAAAGTGCAACAAAGCCTTCAAGGACAACCTGGGCAGTAGTACAGCACATTCAGCACTTAACTATCTAATGCAGGGTTTCTCCACCTTGTCAACTTTAAGACGTGTTGACTTCAGCTACCAGAATTCCCTAGCCAGCATATGCTAGCTGGGGAATTCTGGGAGTTGAAGTCCACACGTCTTAAAGTTGACAAGGTGGAGAAACCCTGATCTAATGGTTAGGCATAATTGCAATCTATGTCACAGATGGGAACCTCCTCATTGGTTTGGCTTCAGATTAAGAGGCGGGCCCTACTCATCAGGAGTATTCTTTGAGAACAACCTTCAATGAAGTCTCAGTGCCCCAACGTACCTGCTGACCTAAAAGAGTTTTGAATCCCTGGCTTAGAGTACATGGGTAGGACTGAGCAATTTTCAGGACAACTCCACTTACCCTCCAGCAACATTATTGCTGTTCCAGTTTGGATGTACAAAGATCCGTTCCACACTTAGGATCTGCTCATTGCCTTCGTTCTGATAAATGTTGTGGTCCCCAGCCACCACACGGAAATTCATTCTCCTATAGATAAGAGAGCAAGAAAATGGGACAGAGTTGTGTTACCAATTTGGAATCTTTCCACAAGCTTCAACAACTTCACTTATAAATATTGTCCAATACTGAACAGAAGCAGCAAAGTACTTGAGGTAAATAAGAGGTTCAGTTCATGATAATTACTAGGAGTCACTTCTGACTTTCATAGCACTTGGTAGCCTGTGAATATGCCCCACTAAACAAAGTTTTGAGTGCAAAGTACTATTTTGGATGGAGTTCATTCAAAAATATACTCAACTAAAACATGGTACTTATAAAGATGGGTAAAAAGTTGTTTGCAGCCAATTCTTTTCTGTCAGCCTTGAGAGGCAGTCCAGACCAGGAGCACAACCAGGAGTACTTGCTCTATCTTTATTGCAAAGTTACTTTAACAGAATCTTGCAAGGCTTAAAGTATTTCTCCCCTGCTTTCCTTTTAGTCTCTGGAAAATTAAGAAGGGTCCCTTCTGAAACTCTTTCCATGCTTTTCCCTATCTGTGGACTGAGCTGCCTCTTCTCAGACCATCACCTAGGCTGTTGGTCTTTATCCTGTCTCCAGAGGTCATTCCCACATACCATTACATTTTCCCAGAAGGATTCAAGGCATAGTTGCTTTATTAATATTTTGCATTGGTAACCTAGGGAACTCAAGCAGTTGGAATAAAATCAACCAATCACAGAAGTCATGTTTGCACAATGTCTTCTATTTCAAAGAATTTAACTTTCTTTCTATGGAAAAACATCCTGAAAGGCATTGATGAAGGTGAACAAAGTAAGAGATGTGAGTAGAGGCTTTCAGGGAGAACTGGTCAATAGAAAGTTTAATCTGACCAACAGTAAAAGTAATCAAAATATGTTGATTCCATTAGATGGAAACAACTGACACTATTTATGATGTAGGGATGTAAATGATCCACCACTGAATCGTGTTGGAGAGTCTGAATGATTGAAACACATTTTGGAAGAAGCCAACAAACAAAATCAATTTCACACTGCTCTTCTAGCCCAGTCTCATGAGGAGCAAAGTACCTTCTCTCTTCTCTCTTTTCCAGAAGCTCAATGATTGTGATGGAATGGTGTTATGAAGCTGTGCTAGGGGAGATAAGCGTGTTCTTAGCCCCCAGCAGGAGTGTGGGAAGTTTAAGAAGATGAGACTGGCACCACCCTAAGGAATTCATGGTGTTTTGGCTTACTGGCTTGGGAAGTTAGATTCAGTCTGGAGAGATTTCTGTCTTGAGGTGGAAGCTAATAAAAGCAACAGAACTGTATCTGCATTGTCTCATGGAGTTCTTTGGGCTGAACCTGACAATGATGGAACAATGGTTAGGGTGTGGAACTAGGGGTCGGAAGACCAGGGTTCTAGTCCATTCACAGCCATGGAAGGTGACTTGGGTCACTCACCCTCTCTCTCAGGTCAACCAGACTCACAGCACTGTTGTTGCAGGGGAAAATGGGAAGAGGAACATTATGTATTCCACTTTTCCCTCCTGAATGAAAAGTAGGATATACATCTTATAAATAAATAACAGTGACCTACTTTGAGGACTTTCTGTCTTCCAAGGAAGCCCAAGGAAGAAAAAATACATTTCATATTTTCAGTGTTACAGATATTGAGAAAGCCAAGAAGAAAAATTTCTGCACAGGACCAGTCTAATGTTAAGCCTCCTTCCCTGGAGAAGAAGAAATCCCCAGGGGAAAAAAACACCCAAATGCCCAGTTGTCCTCTGTTACCTGTCCACACAATGAGCAGCTGTCATCACCCAGTTTCGTTTCACCAGCGTCCCACCGCATGTGTGATACCATTTCCCACTGGAAGAGTACTGAAGGGAAATCTACATGTGGAATTGCAGAGAGAGTAAGAGCGAGAGAGTCCTGAGTTCCTTGTCAAAAAGTATTCTAGACAGAGTCATTAAAGTGGAGGTTAGGAACTGTTCACTTTAAATGATTAAAGCAACCGCATCATTTACAAGGCTTGCACAGCTACTTTGAAAGCAGCTCCTGGCTGGTTCCCCATGCGTGTCCATGCACAACCACTATGCTTTGCTGACCATCCCACCAATGCTGAAAACGGGATGGCTTTCAAAGCAATTGCTCCATAGAGTGCCATGTGTTGCAAATGCTTTCCTTTGGATTCCTGCACCAAATAGGAAATTGGATTCAGTGGCCTAAAGGTTTCCTTCCAAATCCATGATTCGAAAGGTTCGTTCCGCATGACTGAGTAAATGCAGATTGGAGATGTCTCAACAGTTGTATCTAGAAGGCATAAACGGATGATGTTGTCTTTAATGCACTGCTGATCTGAGCTGGAACTCATATTTTCAACCTTTTTTGCAACCTTTTTTCTGCTTGTTCCAGAATCTTTTTCCCTTTGTCTTCCACTTAAAATTGGTTCCCCACTTTATCCCTGTTTTCACTACCTATTAAGATGCAAAAGGTGGAAAACATGGCCTTCAGCTCCTGGAAAGAAGCTGTTTTTACCTGTGATGGCCATGAATGCTTCTTTGCCTCTTGGCCCCCAACAACACGTCCATTTTCCACTTGTGTTTCCTCTGAGCAGCAGCCTTTAAGAGTAAAAGGAGTCAGCAGCATAAGCTCAAGTTATTGCAGCCATGAGACAGATGGATGGATGGATGGATGGATGGATGGATGGATGGATGGATGGATGGATGGATG